TCCCCACTGGCCCTGGCTCTTTGCAGTGGCAAAGGTGTTTGCAGCTCCCCACCCCAGCCTGGCAAAGGCTCAGCCAGGAGGGACTCTCAGAGCGGGGGGGGGCATTCTCCAAGGCATGTGCTGCATGGCCTGCCCAGCACTGTGCCCCATGACGCCTGCCTGGGAGCCTGATCCGGGCGGGGAAGTACTCACCCCCATGGTAGCTTTCGGAGGCCAAGCCTCCTGGCGGGGGAAACACTCACCTCCCGGTTCCCGCACACCCGCACTCACCCCTAGGTGAGTAAAGAAAGTTTTGTATACCCCGCACCTGAGTATACCCCACAGGGAGGGTGCGGGGTTTGTAAAAAATACGGTAGGCCCCAGCCCCCAACCCACCCCCTCACCTCCCCCCCACACATCCCCATGGCCATATACTGAAGGATCTTCAGGTACGCTGGTGGCTAGAAAACAGCAGCTTTTGGCTGGGTGCCCAGCTCTGATGATGGTTCTCTCCCCCTCCCACAAGCAGCAGGGCAGAAGAGTGACAATACCATACTACACCATCCTTATTTCTACGCTGCTGCTGATGGCAGCTCTGCTTTCAGAGCTAGGCTTCTGGCCAGCAGCTGCCGCTCTCCAGCTGCTTGTCACCACTGCCAGCAGCAACAGTGCAAAAATAAGGGTAGTAGTACTTCCCAATAATCTGGCAACTCTCCGTCAGTTCCTTTTTGGGTCAGGACCCCTACAGTCATACCACCATGAAATTTCAGATTTAAATAGCTGAAATCATGAAACATTTTTTTTTAATTCTCTGCCTGTGAAATTGACCAATATGAGCCATGAATGTGGTAGGTCCCCAATCATTACTTTTGTGCTTGTATTTGTTATTGGCTTATTGTGTGTCCTTGTCGAAGTCACTAAAACCAACATTTTCACAAGTGTCCACAAATTTTGGTCACTTCTGATGCTGGGTCCCCAACATTAGACACCTACGGCCTGATTTTCAGAGGTGCTGAACATAGACAGCTCCATTGGAAGTAAATGAAAGTCAAATTCTACATTAAGGTGGTACCCAGAATTAATGTACACCTCTTAACATATTGACCTTAACCTCTGTGTGACGTAGATTCCCTTTCTGTGAAATGAAGAGCTTATTCTGTCCCACCTCACAGAGCTCTTCTGAAGATTAAATATTTGTAGCATGCTATGTAAACTGCTATGTAAGTTTTAAATGGGTGGGAGTTGTGTTTTGGTGAGGTGTGACTGGTTTTTGTTTTGGGGGAGAGAGGGGATTGTTGTTTTGCAGGGGGAGATGCAAAACAATCTTTAAAAAGCCAACACAGAGTGGTATGTTTTTATTCCTATGTAGTATTATTCTAACCAAAAGACTTTGGGTAGGTGGAGAAGAGATGCATAACTAAATGAAATTATCAAATTCTTCTCTGAATGTATTTATAAATGTTTGGTTCTTTCATGTATCTTAAGAAATATTGAACACTCAGTCTTCCCCATACTGTAGAATGGAAGGTTATTAAAATGAAGAACTGCCTTTTTAGCTGTAGTGCATTAGTTGGAAAAATAATTTGTGCTTTTTTATATGTAAGCTGTTGTGTTTTATATACAGTATTATAATAACTGTGATGGCGATATTCTGTTTCGTTGCTTTGTTATAACTTTTTCATTCCCTTCAAGCTTCACAGATAAATTTATATTGTTTCTGACAGCTTAAAATGTTATATCCTTATTAACCTTTAAATTTATGCTCTAAACTGGCCTGGTGGGATTGTATATAGAATGATTTAGAGGACGCTTGAGAAAATTTTCTTATCCAATAACTGGTTGGAATAGTTATTCTGTATTCATTATCAGATTATATTACTGCAAGGAAAGTTGTCAAAGTTATCACTTACGGTGTTCCTGGAGAGTAGGAAATTATTATGTTAATGCTCATTAGTGGAATTCTTATGAAAGGAAGAACTAGAAAATAACTCATTTTTGTACCCTTTACAGTATTCTGAAGTCAATGGAATTTGCACCGTCTGAGGGATCTGGTGCACAGGTACTGAATCTATTTTTGTTTTCTTAATTCTTTCTCTCATTCAGCTAGCGAATATTGTTTTTGTGTTACCTGGGATAAGCATGAACAATTTCCTGTGGATCTGTAAACTTGATGCTTTTCAGTGTCCTTAAAATGTGGTGGTACACAAGGTCATCATTGGCTTCTCAAGCCCCATTTATAAAAGCTGAATTGATCATTTTTGCTTATTAATTAAATTTCTTTCAAGAGGTCAAGGGCAAGGAAAGACATTTCAGGTGGAATGTAAGTGAACAACCTGAATATTTTAAAGATGCTAGCTCTGGAACACAACTAAACCGAAACGTGGATAATTATTGGACTAATATTAGGCTGAAAACCTTGTTCAGCAATTTTTTCTTATTGAATAGCCTTGAATATTCGATTCACAAAAGAAAACAAGGAAACCTTTAAACATGAGAGAGGAGTAGAATCTTCTAATAAACTTTAGTATGCTAATCTCACTTAAGATCAAAGGTTATGTATTGGATTCCTGCTTCTGAAATCCAAACTGAATATCAATATACCGGGGTAAAGAGGATTATTTTTTAATATGCTTTTTGATGATACAGGGTTAGATATTTAGTGGAAGGTAAATGGCTAATTTCTGTGGCTGATTTAATTTATGATCATGTGGCCCATTTGCACTGAAACACATAGCTTTTGAAGGAAGTATAAAATACCAATGTAGTGGATTCTTCTACGAAGCAGAAATACTAATACTTACTCAAATTAGAACAGCTTTTAGTTATTCATTGGAAACTATACTAGCACAATTTTTTTAAAAAGTACATAAGATTAACAGAACTTAACGAGATTGGTGAGTGATTTACATAGAAAGTTCAGTAGCCTCTGAACATTCACATAAATATATGCATGATGAATTGTACAGCCTCAGTCATGGAAAAATCAAGTGCTTTCTTCTGAGGTCTTTTACAATAGCTGAGTGACCCACTTAAATTGTTTAATACCTTCATGGCTAACCTGAAAACAAACCTCACATTTTGACTGTATTTAGGATGCATCCAAACCACTGGAGGTGTTGCTGCTGGAGAAAAATCGCTCATTGCAGTCTGAGAATGCCACACTGCGTATCACTAATAGTGACCTGAGCGGTAGGTAGATGTGATTTTTCTGCTGTGATACTTCGTTTACTGTCTGGGGGAGAAAGGAGAGTGAATGTGAGATGAGAGCCCAAGCTAGTGTGTGACAGAAAGATTAATGGATAAGAAGGATCTTGAATAATGTTTGATTTTTGCCATTTTATAGGCTGGATAATAGAATAAGACTTGGAGACCTGAGAGATGCTCTGAAGTTTAGAAAAGAGAGGCATTGTAGAATGTGCCAAATGGTAGCATTCAGGTTGTTTGTGGTTTAGGTAATAAATTCAGCAGTAGTGTGCAAAGCTCTGACCCCACTGGCCCCCCAACACACACAAACGTGAAGCAAAGGGTTTGCATATAGAACACAATCATCTTCCTGTCTTATATTCTTAGATATTTTCATTAGCTGATAGTTAAAAAAACAAATACTGAGAAAGGTGTGTCTTTATTAGCTTTCATATTGTAGGCATATTACACGTTCTGTCCAATTTTTTAAATGGTGGAGTTGTGGCATTTCCAGATGCTTCTGTTTTTAGCTGCTGGTAAAGGGTTAAAAAGTTGCCACTGGCACTGGGGTTTTCTACATTCTGAAATGTATATGACTTTAACTGAGTAATCTTGTTGCATCCACTTACATGTGATGTCTTTAATTAAATGGATTTGTTCCAAAATGTAAATGTTTGCTGCATGAGGTTCAGCCAAATCTATTGAGTAATGTCTTGAATAAGAGATGCTGAAGAAACTTGCTGTTTGTAACTGACTTTATTTTAATTGTATAACTGCACTTCATGTAATTGTTTTAGATTTAGAGTTTGTAAGGGGGATTCTCCAGGCTGCAACATACAAGAAAGGTGCAAACATGAAATGCATGTTGTTTGTTTGGGGGCCTTGTTTGGCATATTATAAATTTAAATTAATTAAAAAAAAAAAAACCAACCAACCACCACCTCATTGGCCCTTGTAAAAACTGCACTTTTTCCCTTCTGTGGGGCAAACTTTGCATTTTATCTTGGTTTTTCCCTTTTTAATCCCCCATAATGCATTGTTTGACCTTCCTTGTAGGGTCAGCCAGGAGAAAAGGGAAAGACCAGCCTGAGAGTCAGCGTCCTGCAACCTTGCCGGCCTCCCCTTCTTCTCAGTTGCTCCGCAACACAGGGGAGCAGGCTTCCAATACTAATGGTACACACCAGTTCTCACCAACGGGTTTAAGTCAAGACTTTTTCAGCTCATCCCTGGCAAGCCCCAGCTTACCCCTGGCCTCCACAGGAAAATTTGCACTAAACTCTCTCCTCCAGCGACAGCTAATGCAGTCCTTCTACTCCAAGGCAATGCAGGAAGCAGGAAGCACAAGCATGATTTTTTCAACAGGTCCTTACAGCACAAATTCCATATCTTCCCAAAGTCCATTACAACAAAGTCCAGATGTTAATGGCATGGCCCCATCTCCCAGCCAGTCAGAAAGCGCTGGGAGCATCTCTGAAGGCGAGGAGATAGACACAGCAGAAATTGCACGTCAGGTGAAAGAGCAATTGATCAAGCACAATATTGGACAGCGGATATTTGGACATTATGTCTTGGGACTGTCACAAGGGTCTGTGAGTGAGATTCTAGCACGGCCAAAGCCATGGAATAAACTGACTGTAAGAGGCAAGGAGCCATTTCACAAGATGAAGCAATTCCTCTCAGATGAGCAGAATATCCTGGCGCTACGCAGCATCCAGGGTAGACAAAGAGGTAAGTTCTGTTTACTGATTTAAACTTTGGTCTTGTAAGCTAGAGAGATGCAAATCATAAAAGGTTTTCTCCTCCTAGGTCATTTACGCAACAGAATTGTTTTTCGCCTTACGCCTTTACAGAGCTACACTGCAGGAACGTATTCTTTACAAAACATAACTTTTCTAAATTTAATTATCTGACTACATTGTTTTCCAGCAGTTATACAATATAGTAATATTTGACACTGAGAAGCATCGATTTTCCTTATACACTGGCCTGGGTTATTGTTGGTTTTTGTTTTATTTTTGGTGGGAAAGAATGAAGAGCTCGTATATTAAAGCTTGTCGTAATTGAGAGTAAGTCCTATATCAGAATGAAACATTGAGTGAAAAGTAGCTCTCAAGAACGTCCGCCCACTACATGTACAGGCAAAATTATAGTGGGGATTGTTTGCTGAGAATGTGTGTTTATTGTGCCCTTAACACTTCTGGTGGCAATTTTTCCTAGGTGTATTAAAATAGTTATATGGGTGATGAATAAGATTAGTATAACAAACATATTAAAAGCAGCTTTACTTATTTATATAGATGATTTTAATAAGTACCATTCACTTTCACGTCAGTGTGATTTAGTTTTAAACAAACACTAAAGCTTGCATTTAAGAAAAATGGAGAGAGCTGTTAAAACCCTAGAAATAGTTGAAAGAATAGGCAGCATTTTCATAGCAGTTTAAATGAAAATGAACATCTTTACATTTATAACTTGTTCTTCCTTTTGATAATTACAATTGGGAGGTATATCTATCCATCTTTATATCTATCTAACCCCTCTTTTCTGTATATAGATGTAATATTAATTAACAAATCTGTCAGCCTCACATCTTCCAAAGTATTCTGCTCCTCTAATGCTCAAAGATTCAAAGGGTTTAAGAGAAGCCTTGAACCCCTTGTATTTAGTGACAGGCAGCTGTCTTTTCATGTCACACAGCCCATGATGTGAACACAACCATCCCCTGATTGTTTTGTTCTTACCAAACTTGTTTTTCAACAGAGAATCCAGGCCAGAACCTGAACAGACTATTTCAGGAAGTACCGAAACGAAGAAATGGGTCTGAAGGTACGTCACAGGCAGGTGTTTTTCTTTGCAGTTAACATCTAGAAATGGAGTGTGCTTTAGATGTGTGTTTCCTTAAAACTGTGCAGTTTGATTCTGGCCTGGAATCTGATGGAAAAACAGACAGTAAGTATAAAACAAACCATGGGTTAGAAGAACACTTTACTTTTTCTAATTCCACCACTACCATACTAACTTGGCCTGTTCTAGACGGCTCCTCCATACCCCAACAAATATGTCTATATATAAAAAGAGATAAGTGTTAGAAGTGGCACTTCAAATAATGAAAACTTATTTAGTTTGTCTTGATTGTGGCTTCCAAGCAAGAAAGTTACCATCCATGAAGCAATTCCTTCACAAATAGGTAAAAAGTATACCGTCTCTACTAGGGGTACTATCCTAAGTAAGTACATGTTGACAAATTCAATATAAGATGCTGTTAAAATAACGTGGAACTTATCTTACCATAATATATGAAAAAGCTTGGATAAAAGTTGTAATTGAAAATCAGAGCACTTAACTACTCATTTGAAAAAGTAGAAGTTGCTGTTTAAGTATAATCTTGTTTGTCTTGTAACAGACCAATGGTAGAATTTTACATTTAGCAAGAGGGCAAAACAAAAAAATGAAAACGGGAAAAAGAAAAAAAAAACATGACCCTAAAACAATTGTTTTGTTTCTGGTGAAAAATTATATCGCCCATATTAGTGATTATTCATAGAACACTTCTAGAGCATTACTATGTGATGAAAAATGCTTTAAACTGAAGTAATCTTCAAGACCATTAGGAGTTTTCTATCTTTCTTTCCTTGTTTTAAAAATGAGAATTAAGTCTCATATTGTTGCAACACTTAAAAATTTATTTCTCCTATTGTTTTGACATCCTGGAGAGGTAAAATAAACTGGAATATTGCTGTCTTGTACCTAATGTTCTTCATTTTAGATTACAAATAGAAATAAAATGTACAGTGTATTCAGATATCATATAGAGTCAAAACAGCTAATGTGATCTTTTTATAAATTGTTCATGCCATCACATTTTTAGCCCCCCGAAAGAAGAATAGTCAAAAGATTCCTGCTGGATGGAAATATTTGTGTTGCAGTTGATACTGAGTACATGGCCTGCTGATTCTCCTGCAGTTTATATTTTAAAGTTATCCTGTAGCTGCTGCTGCTGAATGGTATATTTTCAAGCAGGGAAGATCTGGAAAAGAAAGCATTTCCAGTACTAGTAAAGGTCAATAAATCTTAAAATCCTCCCAGTGAATGCTTACAAGCACTTCTGCAAACTGTTGTCGGGTTGAATTACACGTGTTACAGTCATGATTGCTTAATAGTATTAGTTTCCTTTTTCTCTTCAGGTAACATCACCACAAGAATCCGAACCACAGAGACTGGCTCTGATGAAGCCATCAAATCCATTCTAGAACAAGCCAAAAGGGAGCTGCAAGTACAGAAAACAGGTACAGACTCACTTTGTCTCTTGTTCCTTTTCCTTCAGAATTTAATTAAAACAATTATCATGAGCTTACTGGTTGGTTAATTATGTTCTTAAAATTTGAACAAGTTTTTGCAGAGCTGATTCTTTGGAGTGAGGAGTGGTTTATGTATTTAAAATATATTGATTTTCACTGTTTATACTTAGTTCTAGGCAGAACCTTTTTAGAAAAAGTCACAGTTCCTCTCCTGTTCCTGCATTGATGCTGGGGGAAACTAAATTGTGACACTCTTTACTGTTGCACCCTGTACTTTCTCCCTTGCACTGACCCACATCTTCTGGCATGCTGGGAGAACCATTTCTACCTGCTTGCTCATTGGAGGGGGAATACTGGCCTCGCTATCCTACTCTCTCTTCCCCACATCTGCCCAGACATAAGACAACCTACTACAGTTGGTGATTTGCTCCATCCTGCTCCCCTGCATGCCTATTCATGAGCTAGTCCTTAACTAAAATGTTCTTACTGTATTGTTTTTTTCATGAATTGGGATTATAACAATCATTACCTGGATCTGACTTTTACTGCACTTTATATGGGGCTGTAAATTGTTAATTGGAGCATATTTGCTTTCCATTTTCAAATGCACCTGTTAGGTTCTCTTTCCACTGTGCGATTTTCCATGTGTTTAACAGCTGTCAGAACTGCTGAACTAATCCTCCAATCCTGTGTATCCACTTTTGGGACTGGCACTGCCCTAGAAAGTGCTTTGCATTAAAGTTTGTTTTTAGAAATAAATGTTAGTTTATTACTTTGGATTCAGCTTCCTAGTTAAAATGAATCACACGGCAAAAAGTGTCCACAGGATTAATTAAAGATGTTTTTAATAAATAGAAAAAGATATTCGATGTCTAAATGAGTAATAGCTACAATTATTTAAAGTGTTAATTACTAATTTTCTGCTACAGCACACTTCATATGAGGATCTCAAAGCTCTTTGCAGACATTAATTAATTAAGATTATAACTTTCGATGAGAGAAATAGTTAGATAAAGCAGAAAAGGCATCCTAGTTATTTTTTTCCCTGTATCTTTATTTCTGATTTATTTTGTGGGGTAAGAATCAGAAGGGAAAGATGGTGGCAGAATGAAAACCTACATAGATGACACACAATATTATTATAGGATAAGGTACATAATTATATTAATTTTATTTATTTTAATTTGTGGCCACTTCTTGAAGCACATAGCTCTCTTGTCACATCATGTGCTTCACATTGTCCCACTTCCATAATGGGATTTTTAGGCCTTGAAATTGATCTTCAGTTGAGGCCTCAGTAGAGATGGCTATAAATCTGAATGCAGGCCACTCAGGAAAAGAGAAGATTTGGACTCTCTTGAAATTGCATCCTCTGCCGAAGAAGGCCACATTGGCCAAAGAAGGCCATAGCCCTTATTCAACACCCAAACCTTTCAGTTGGACTAGCAATGTAAAAGTGTAGTTGATTAGTCAACTACCCGATGAGCCTAGGATTATCGGGTAGTCGAGTCAACTACTCACATTCCCCCCCCACCCTGTGCTGCCACTCTTTCAGAGGCAGCAAAGCGGGGAGGGGGAGAGCAGGAGCTGGTGCTGGGGGGGGAGCCACCTTAAAAGCCAGTTTCCCCCCAGCACCATCTCTGCAATACCATTTTCCCCTCTCCACTGTGCTGCTGCAGCAGTGCTGGGCGACCAGGGGAGGCTGCTCTGTCAGCAGCCCCTGTCCACAGGGAGCCCAGCAGCAGCCCCAGCCTCCGTGAACGGAAGCTGCTCTGCAGCAGCTCCTGTCCATGGAGGGACCCAGCAGGGAGCTGAGAACCCCGGCAGAGAGGGGCTGCTGGACCAGGCGTGAGTCTGGAACTGAGCAAGCCCGGCTCAGTCCTGGCTCGTGCTGAATCCAGGAGCTACCTCTGCTGCAGCTCTGCAGTTTAAATGTAGTAGGAACTGGGCTGCCTTCAGCTCCTTCTTAGCACCTTCCCCTTGTATCTACTACACGATTACCCAGTTACCCACCTCTTAACATCCTTAAATTGGACTGTCTCTTCTTCGATGCCCATTAGCTCCCTACAAAGTGGAGATCAAGAATTCTCTCTAAGGCTTCTGCTTGGCAATGCAGACCACTATAAGTGAACATTACGCTTATTTTTTAAAAACTGTTGAATAATTGTGTTCTTCTTAGTGATGTTTCGTTCAGTGGTTTGGAGCAAATAGCCAGAGAGAGAGAAAGCGAGAGAGAGAAAGCTGAGTAATAAGGGAAAGAAAGGAAAAAAGTTCTTTGAAAAAGTCCTTGAGTTTTTCAGTTCCCAAGTCTGATTCGGGTAGTGGGATTAACCCTGATAGATTATTTATGTTTTAATGTTACACTGGCAGTGCAGCCAGGTGACTTGGATTTTGTTAGCGCATGAGTCACTTGGGGGAGGCAGAGAACCAAATGCTTAAGTAACTGTATCTGGGATCATGAAATGTAATGTCGTTTTTGAGATATATATGGGGAGGGGCAAAATAGGGCCAGTTTTTCAAAATTCTGTATTTGCAAATGTATTTATGAGTATACATCAGTTGTTCATACGTGGCTTGGATGTCTGTGTGTGCATATGTGACTGCAAATATTTTCCAGTGCCTCATTTCAAATATTCTCATTGGATTAGAGAAAGCCAAATGTTATGTACATAGAAATGTACTGCGGGCCATCTACTCTCACACAGGCTTGTTAGGAAACACAGTGACACTGATGTTAGAAGAATGTGTATATTCTATATAATAATCTTTGGTTTGTTTTCACAGCTGAGCCGGCTCAGCCAACTTCTGCATCTAGCAGTGGCAATTCTGATGAGGCCATTCGATCCATTCTGCAACAAGCCCGGCGTGAAATGGAAGCACAGCAGGCTGCCCTGGAACCTGCCTTAAAAGCAACACCTTTGTCTCAAGCTGACATTTCCATCTTGTCCCCAAAACTAATAACGACACCGGCAATGTCTTCGGTTTCCAGTTATTCTCCTTTGGCCTTGTCGCTGAAGAAACATTCATCGGTCGGGGATTCTAATGTAGCTACGTTACAGAACCTCTCTGGGCTAAAAAAGGAGCACCAAGACACACCAATTTTAGAGCTCCATGGAATCGCTGATTCTGCACAAGGTGTGCTGAGGCACGTTAAGAATGAATTGGGGCGTGGTGGTGTGTGGAAGGACCATTGGTGGAACACTGTTCAGCATGACAGAAGAAATACCACTGTCCCTGAAGATGCAAAGATTGACGAAGCCAGCAGCGGAAAAGAAAAGATCAGCAATCAGACAAGGCCCGATCGTAGTCAGCTCCAAGGACCATCCTCTTCAGAATATTGGAAGGAGTGGCCCAATGCTGAATCTCCATACTCCCAGAGCTCTGAATTGAGCATGACGGGAGCAAGCCGCAGTGAGACACCACAAAATAGTCCCCTTCCTTCCTCTCCTATTGTACCTATTGCAAAGCCATCCAAACCCTCAGTTCCTCCATTGACACCTGAGCAGTATGAGATTTACATGTACCAGGAAGTGGATACAATAGAGCTGACTCGTCAGGTCAAAGAAAAGCTAGCAAAGAACGGCATCTGCCAAAGGATCTTTGGGGAAAAGGTAAGGAACTGATTATTTTTCATTACACTAGCATTTTAAACATGTAGCGCTATAGTCTTCTGTTGTTCTGGAGTGAGTTTACTTATTACATTCTCCACACATGGGGATAGGAACCTGACACACATAAAGGCACAATGTTTTTTCCTTCAGTAGTTACAGAATATATTCACAAGTGAAAAGTCTGAGTCTTGTGACTTTATGAAATTACAAGCTCTTCTAACTTCAATACAAAACATTTCTTCAGCATCTTCTTAGAAGAACACAAAGCTGTTTTCTTCATCTCTCAGTTCCGGGCAGCTGCACGTGTATTTCTTCTCTATGGTCCATCAAGAATGACCACTTAGCAGTTTCTGAATCCATTTGCTGGATCAGAAAGAAGGTCTGAGTCAGTTTAAACTTGGGCTACTTATCCAAAAGTCCTTTTTTTGTCTGTTGGTCTCTGCTGGGAATCTGGTTTGAACTATTATGTGCAAGCTTCCCCTCTCAGTTCCGGGCAGCTGCACGTGTATTTCTTCTCTATGGTCCATCAAGAATGACCACTTAGCAGTTTCTGAATCCATTTGCTGGATCAGAAAGAAGGTCTGAGTCAGTTTAAACTTGGGCTACTTATCCAAAAGTCCTTTTTTTGTCTGTTGGTCTCTGCTGGGAATCTGGTTTGAACTATTATGTGCAAGCTTCCC